CCCCGCCCCCCCAAAAAAAATCTTGTGAGATCTCACAGTTTGACCATGAGAATTCCCTGGAAGACACTGATGACGAAGGCTTCCCAAGAATCAGCTGGACGGCCCTGACTACATCACCCGTGCCTCAGAAAAACAGGAAGAAGAAAGGTAAATTCATGTATAGCAAAATAATGTGCAATAAACATTACGGCTTAAAGTGACACTACACTCAGGAGTTAAATCTTAAAAAAGCATTCAAGTACCTTACCTATGAATAAAACTGTATCACAGTGGTGTAATTGTTAGAGCTTATGACTTGTAGCACTGGGGGTCCTTGGTTCAAATTCTGGCCAGATCACTATCTGCAAGGAGTTTGCATGTTCTCCCTGTGCTTGCGTGAGTTTCCTTCAGGTACTCCGGTTTCCTCCCACACTCCAAAGACATGCTGGTAGGTTATTGGTTCCTGTCTAAATTGGTCCTCATATGTATGCATGTGAGATAGGGGCCTTAGATTGTAAGCTTCTTGAGCGCAGGGACTGATGTGAATGTGCAACTGAGTAAAGCACTGCGTAAATTGTCAGCTGTATATAAATACCAATAAAAATAATATCACTCAGCTGTAGATCCTCCAATCACCTCTGAATTGGAGCTGACATGGTCCATCCTTCTGGAGGGGGGCTACTTTTGTTTCCCATGGTCCCTGTATGTGTTGTAACTTAGTCACCGCTCCAAGCTCACTCCCACGATGAACTACAATCTCAATACAAATTCGTAAAACTAAACATGAGATTGAAATTCTGCTTCCATAAGCTTCTCTGAAGTAAAAAATGAAGCAAAGCATAACTATGACCAATGGGAAATGAATGTCAATTCTATGCGATACCCATGAAACATTCTTAAAGCTCAATTGACCTTCCATTGAAATCAGCGAATACATTCTGGGTATATCAAAACAAAAGGCATTCATCTTACCTTTCACATTTCCTACAAAGCAGCCACAGCCCTGAGTAGAAAAGCCTGCCCCTTCCAAGATACTGTAGAGAGGGACTCCTGCTCTCTGTGTGGAAGCAGTCTTTCTGAAGAGGTTCATCATGTCCCCCCACTAGAGTTACTAGTGAGAGCTATAGCTCTGCAATCAATAAAGTTCATGTTACCTGCTGATTTGAGAGTTTAGGGTATGCTAGACTTCTGCAGAGAGACCACTGCTTCAACACAGGGGGCAAAGGTCCTTCTCTACAGCATGTGGGCAGGGGACAGGCTTTTCTACTCAAGATGTGGCTGCTTTAGAAAACTAGCTAAGACTTGGCACACCTTTTTATGCACCTGGAATGTATTTAGCAGATTTAAACAGGTTTAATTGGGTTTTTAAAAGTTTGGTCTCTATGGATCACCTATTACTAACTTGAGGTAACACATGACTATCCCTTGAACTATGATTTCTTGTGTCCTGAAGGTATCAGAGATCACTTTTTTCTTTCCTCCCTCCACCCTTCTCCTGCCTATCTCTCCCCTCTTTTACACCCTCTTTATATTCTTCTCACAGAACATTCTGCTATCATGCTTTCCTTATTCTTCCCTTCTGTTGTCTCTGACAGTCATGGCGCTCTTATTGGTCAGGATCAGGAACCATGTTTTTCACAGGGCACCCACCTAAAGCTGTCCATACACTGCTTAGATTTTTAAAATAACTTTTGTATGAAAAAAACTTTCTCTCGACTTTCTATTAGTTGATGGAGTCGAATCGCTAATCGATTTCCACCTTAGTGATGAAAAAACTTGAAGGAGGAGAATGGAAATTTTTTCTCGAACGAACAAAATTCTAACAGTAAATATGGTTTTCAATCGTGAAACCCCATTCATTCCAAAATGGAACATTAGAATCAAGTGAAATTTCGATCGACATTCGTCAAGTGGCTGGTGGCATTATCGAGGGGTAAAGAAAGCGCTCTCTGACGAAAGTTCCTTCAGAAATCTACTAGTGTATGGCCAGATTAACCTAGATCAGGGATAGGAAAACCTTAGTACTCCAGCTGTTGTGGAACGACAAGTCCTATGAGGTATGACCCCCAGAGGCAGAGGCATAGAGGGGTTCATAGTTTTACCACAGCCTACCCCTCACCTAGATAATCTACACTATAGAGAAGGTAGAAAATACCTTTACCACCTAACCTGAACATCCTGTATAAGGGGAAACCCAAAGCAACAATAACAAACAACTTTAAAGTTTATATAAACCAAAAACATATTTCTTTTAATTCTGAATTGGGTGGTAAAGAAGACGGAGCCTCTGCCAACTTTAAAGTATTACTAAAGGCTGGGCATTTGTTTACCTTAATACATTCTCTGCATTAAGGTAAGAAACGCCCAGTACCTTTCTGTGTCCCCCCCCCCCCCTACAGCTCGCGGTATACTGAGACGCCGCAGCTGAAGCGGATCCCGACAATTATGTCTGGATCCGCCCAGCTGCGTGAGTGACAGCTGGCTCTGCCTATCTAGAGGCAGAGCCAGCTGTACCTGCCCCCTCCCCCGTCCGTAAGTCAGCACTGGAGGATCGGGGAGGGGGGAATCCAGTCCCTCCCCTGTCACGGCAGAGAGCTGTGACAGGATCGAGAAGTGAGCGAACGCCGGTATGTGTTCGCTCACTTCCCGATCTACTGAGCCGACCTGTAACAGTCTCATTGTCACAGGTCGGCTAGAACTAGGAGGTGAGTGAAAAGCACTCATCTCATAGTTCTCCTTTAATGAAGGTCTGTCTCCCTGCTGGGAAGATTCAGGGCCCATTCACACCAGTTCCAGATAATCTCCAGACCAGATTGTTTCCTGACTCAAAATGTAACCTAATGTATCCCTATGCTATTTCTGGCCTCTGTTCACACCAGCTCAGTCCGTTCCAGACCAGACCCGAAAAATATTGCATGCCTCATTTTGTCTGGTCTGAAATGCACTGGAACTGTGGGCAGGTTCACACCATTTTCCGGAACAGATCTGCTCTGGAAAATGGTGTGAACCTGCCCTCAGACTCTCAATAAGTTCCGGGGGCAGTTATCACCAGTATTGAGGGTCTTTGCTCACCTCTACGGTAACATGTACTTGTACGATTATCGCATCAAAGGGAGATCATTACTCTATCTCCCTTTGATCTCTTTTCCTGTCCCCGAATGCAGGAAGTGATGTATATTACATCACTTCCTGCATTCAGTGTCACTCTCCGGTGCGGAACACCAGAGAGAAGCTGATGAAGCAGATCTGTGCTTCATCAGCTTCTCTGGGGGTCCCTAGGTGACATCAGAGGTCTTGGAGACCCCTGATGTCTCCATAAAGAGGACCTGTCATGTAAATTGGCTATCACATAGGGGATTTCTTAGTCCCCTATGTGATAGCAATAAAGTTAAGTCTAAAAAAAAGTAAAAAAAAAAATTAAAGCATTAAAAAACATATTCACAAATAATAAATAAAACAAATAACACTAAAAATATTTTAAAGTCCCCCTCCCCCCCATACACACGCAAACATGCGTCGGGTGCGCCTATGTACGAAAACGACGATTGCGCCCATTATGCCGCACATGTTACATATCGCCGTGAACGTCGGAGTGAGAGCAATAATTCTAGGACCATTAATTACTGATAACACTAAACTGATGAGCGGTAAAAACTTTTAAAGTGTCGCCTATGGCCAATTTTGGTTGCGGTCGTTTTCTGCTATTTCGCGCGGCACGCAAAATTTTTAAGCTTGACATGTTTGGTGTCTATTTACCCGACATGACCTCGTCTTTTATATTTTACCAAAAATTGGGGTGATAATAAATGTTTCATAACATTTTATAGGGAATTATGTTTTTTTTTCCAAAAATTTTGTTATGTAGTACTGTTTTGTTATGTAGTAAAAAATGAAAAAACCCGTAGTGGTGATTAAATACCACCAAAAGAAAGCTCTATCTGCCCTCAAAAAATGGTATGAAACTCGTTTCAGTACAGCGTTGCCTGACGGAATAAACGTCAGTCAAAGTACTGCAGCGCTGAACACTGAAAAATGGCCTGGCCAAGAAGGGAGTGAAACACCCCGGCGGTCAGCAAATGGTTAATTTCTAGGATTCTGGCCTAATAAAGAAATGAAGAAAGCCTGCAATGTAAGTTATAAAATTGTGCACACGTATACATCATTACTGCACCTCACAATAAATGACAAAGGCACAAATGGACTTTAGGACTAGCCACACATTTAAAATGGGCCAATAGGACCGCTTATGGCTGCAATTTTGGTCAATTCCTGGTGAATTAACCCGGCTCAACAGACTTTGATGGAGATGGGTTCACAATTGCCGGCTGAACAGTTACTACATTCTATCAGCTGTAATCACTGTTCAGGTATTCAGTCAGACACAAGTATCGCCTGCTCGCATTCAATAGCTGGCAGGGAAGATTCCTCCATCCTCTTATACGTGCACGAATCCCCTATGCCACTCACAGCCTGTAACTGGGAAAACCCCACTGCGCATGTGCTACCCCATGCACGTCACGCCCGCCCCTCCCAGGGCTTTCATAAGTCCCGCGCATGTGCAGTCATACCCCCGAAGCGCACACGTTCTGACCAATCAGAGAGCGCGTTAGAACCCAATCCCGGCCGGCGAGGCCTCACGCAGTCAGCCAATCAGGTCGAAGCTTGCATCCCCCGCTGAGGTCCTGGGGAGAGGAGGAGGGGAGAAGCAGACTGCTTGGAGGCGGCAAGATGGCGGCCGGGTGCTGACGGTTCGCCGATTCCCAGCCGTTGTCGGATGTAGTTTGATGGGATTGAAGAATTTACGAAGGAGGAGAGAAGGAAGCGAGTGTATCTGAGGCCTTGCTTCTTATTTGTCTGTCGGTATAGCGGGAAGAGAGGCCGAGGCTCCGCCTAGCACGGCGGCCAGCAGACATCTTCTTCCATAGTCCTATTAATAATCATCGGCGGTCCCGCCATGACTTCCATTCACTTCGTGGTCCATCCGCTGCCTGGGACCGAGGACCAGCTCAATGACCGGTAATCTACCCTCCACCTCCCCACCCCCAGAGGCTGAGGCCTGGCCCTAGAACCCGGGCATGTGTGACAAAAGAGGGACTTCAGCCAATCAGAGCTCGGCCTTCCCACACATGGGCTCCTCTCAGAGAATGTGATAGAGAATACAGTTTAGGGTGGCAGTAACCAATTATAGTTTGTTTCATTGTACGTATGCTTTTAATGCAATTCTGCAATTATCCCCCATGTGTGGTAATTATGCGCAATCATATTGCGATACTGCCATCGCCAATGAACGTGTGGGTTGGATGATTCGCTCCACCATCCGTTTGTTCGCCGGGGATGAGTTGGATATGACCCCTGCGCTTCCTTTAAGGGAAATGGTGTAATAGTACAAAGCAGGGGCCCTTAGGTAGAGGTTTTGGTGGGGGTATGTCCTAATTTTGTTTGTGGGTGTAGTTGGCGTCTTCCCGTTCATACAGGTGGGGAAATCTTCGACGATAAAAAAAATTACGGCATCGCCCTGTGAAGGTAGCTGGAAGAATTTCCGCTGATCCGCACGACTCGCCGCAGATTCTTTGGATGGCCCTGCCGGCTCGACAAAAGCCGATTACTGAAAATGGTCAGCTTCCCGGAGACTGCTACCGATCAGATGTAGTCACTCTTCGGGTATTCTGACCACATCGGACGCTAGCTGTCAGAATGCGGCGACGGGATTTCGTCCATCCGTGCTGTTTAGTGTGGATGGAAGAATCTTTGATTTCTTTTGTTCAGACTGATCAGAAGAAGTCTATTTGTTTATGGCCAAAGTAAAGTGCCACCAAAATCAGGATTTAAATCTTAAAAATACATTCAAGTATCTTATTTGTGTATCACTCGGCTGTAGATCCTCCAATCATCTCTGAACTGGTGCTGACGCTGTCCTTCCTTCTGGAGGGTGGCTACTTTTTGCTCCCCATGGTCCCTGTGTGCGTAAAGCTCACTCCTGTGATGGAATACAATCTCAATACAAATTAGTGAATTAAACATGAGATTGAAGTCCATCACGAGAGTGAGCTTGGAGCGGTGACTGCTTTACACACACACAGGGACCATGGGGAACAAAAGTATCCACCCTCCAGAAGGAAGGCCAGTGTCTGCACCAATTCAGAGATGATTTGAGGCTCTACAGCCGAGTGATACACAGATAAGATGCATTTTTGGTAATAGGTAAGGTACTTGAATGTATTTTTAAGATTTAACTCCTGAGTTTCGTGTCACTTAAAGGAGAACTATGAGGTGAGTGATTTCCACTCATCCTCATATTTATAGCCGACCTGTGACAAAGAAGCTGTCGCAGCTCGGCTCTATTGATCGAGAAGTGAGCAGAAACATGCACCGATCCGCTGACTTCCTGATCATCTGTCAGTCACCGATCCCCGCAGGGATTCCCCTCCTCTCCTTCAGCGCTTAGTGGAGGAAGGGAGGGGGTGGGTAAAGGTGGCTCTGCCCATAGATAGTCAGAGCCTGTTGTCACTCACGCAGCTGAGTCCATCTCGACAGTATTGTTGGGATCCGTCCCGGCTGCGGTGCTCTCAGTATATAGCAATAGCCCGCTATATTCTGAGCTTTGGGTCACGTTGGGGGTTAGTATATGCCCTCCTGTGATCCCAAAGAGAACTATGCTGAAAAACACTTACCCCATAGTTCTCTTTTTGAAGTGTCGAGAATGGTCCTTCTTAGATGTAACAGAGGAATGCCAACGCGTTTCAGGGGCTACGAGATGGTAATTCTAAAGTCAGTTCTGCCTTCAGTGCTGTTAGTGACTGGAAATCTCTATTCTGCTGAAGATGACATTCGTAAATGTGCTGGATGACCGCCCTGGACTCTTACTAGCAGGCTGGCGCTTCCATCATTTCCTATCTTAAAAGAAAACCTGTCCTCCTTTCTGCTATGTGACACTTATGTCAGTAATACAGAGCTGGAAAAATCCCAGGAGTCTTGGTAGCCAATGCTTCTTAAATTTTATAGCAGGGGCCTAACTTGAGGTCCCCCCCTCCCCCCGCAGTAATATATATGATCACCCCATGCTCTGTGTAAACAATGTGGTGCTTTGTGGCATCCTCTTAATGGAGGCTCATCCAGAAGTGTTGTCCCTGCTTCTTTTATATGGCAGACCAGTCCATAATGGAAGTTGATGGGGTTGGCTTCTTTGTTGACGAAGCTGGGAGTTGGTGTGTTAAAGAGCCGGAACCATTGTTTTGGAGGACGTGGGGAAGTGTTAAAGGAGAAGTATTGGGAGAGTAATATGTACTCCTCCCAATACTCAGCTTGTGTGGTACACATATGTCTGCTTTATAGATCAAGAACTGAGCGATCACAAACCGCTGATTGCTCAGCTCACAGCTTCTCCCTGCAGAGAGTAGTGACTGTCAATCATCATTCCCCCGATCCTCCAGTGCCTATTGGAGGGACAGACAGGAGAGCTAACCCCCAAAAAAGGTTTGGTTATAGTGCTGTTAAAACCACTGTCAGGCTTTCTTTTGTTGTCTCTATCTCGTAGGGGAGATTCCCCCTCATTTCCTGTCCTGTAGACACAAAAGAGTGGGAGGAATGTTTTCAAAGTAAGATCTTAGTTGTGGTTGGTTAGGTGACTCCACTGGAAGATTTCCACTCTATTCTTCTTCTAGGGACAACTCAAAGTAATGGTAAGTGCACAATTTTGGGTCCCCCAGACAATGGTCACCAGGACAAAGGCAACATTGGAATCCTGGAGGAGGCCCTAACCCTTCCCTGCTCCATCCAAAAGCTCTAGTTTGGGCAGTTTAGGGTACTCGGGTGGAAAAGTGCAGCTCAAATTAGAGTTTAGTAATGGGGGTGCCACAAAGGAGAGCAACATGGTCAATAGTGCTGTCCAGGAACATGGCATTACCATCCGTGTCACCAGCATCAATTAGGCAAAACATGCTGTCTGGTGAGTTTGCTGGGAAACCTTTTTCCAGCATTATTTAGACGCACACTAATGACAGGTTCTCTTTAAAGCCAATCTTGGTGGATAGAAATATGGAAGCTGCCATTCCTGCCCCGGTCTTTTCTTAAATGTTTGCTCTGGGGCGGTCATCCTGATCCTGGTTTTTCCCACGCTGCGAATCACTGACCCGTGGCAAGCATGCTGTATGGCAGGGGTGGACGATTCCGGCCCTCCAACTGTTTTATCTGCAAATCCCAACATGCCTAAGGGAGTCATGCCTGTAAATGTCAGTCTTGCAATTCCTCATGGGACTTGGAGGGCCGGAGTTGCCCACCCCTGGTGTATTGGCACTCATTTTTTTTAGACTTCAGAGGCTGTATGCTTGTTCCAGGGCTGTAATTCTTAACGTAGTGAAGCCATGATTAGGATGACAGCCATTTGCTCTGCACCTTTAAAGTTCAACTCAGCCATGGGGGAACCCAGATTTCTCTCCTCGCTCAGCCCCCTATTGCTCTTGTAACAGGGAAATTGCTTTTACAACCCAGAGATGAGAAGGAGAAACGAAGACGAGAAGCCATTTTATCAGATACATTGCACTCTTTAAAGCAGGAGGAGGCAAACTCCGGCCCCCCAGCTGTGTTGCAACTACAAATCTCATTAGGCATTGCAGGATTCTGACAGCCACAGCATGACCCCCAGAGGCAGATGCATGATGGGATTTGTATTTTCACCTCAGCTGGAAGGCCAAAGTACCCTTGCTTTGAAGAAGAGTAATTTTACTAAAAATGATTGTCTATCTTCCCTAGCACTCCTAACGTTTAACCTACGACCTCACCAGCTGTTTACTTACCTCAGCATGGCATCCACGGCCTCCTCGGCTGTTTACATATTTAGGGCCACAGTGAGCAATCAGACTTGAATAGGGTGATACTTGAGTCTGAGAACACTCAATGGCTTCCCTGTCAGGCCTATGAGAGGCTAAATTGCTTTAGGGGTCTTGCCCTGCATTTCTATGATGCCATAGTTTGTGGTGAGTCTACGTCACAAATTCCAGGTAGCCAATGCGTCTTAAAAATGACAGGTGCTGCCTAACTTTTTGAGGGTTTCCCTAGTTGTCAATAGAGCTGGCACCTGGATTCCATAACACCCACAATTGGCCTCTTTATCTTGATTGACTTTGCTGGTGGCATGCGTGTTCCAGACTTGTTTACACAGATGTTATAAGGCTTTCAGGGCATGTCACTTGGTGGGGAAAAAAAAAAGTAAATGAGAACTTCAGAAGAACAGTAGCACATCAGTCAGCGGTCAAGCCAAGGATGGACCTTAGTACTCCAGCTGTCGTGGAACTAAAACTCCCATGAGGCATTGCAAGACTGACAACACAGGCATGACTCCCTGAGGCAGATGCATGATGTGGTTTGCAGTTTCACCAAAGCTGAAGTGCTGAGGTTGCCTACTCCTGGTCTATGGCCTACCAAAAACAGTTCTGCCCATCTTTATAACCGCTGTTGTGTAAAATGATTTTCTTCTAATATTGGAGCGATCCTCAACCATTCCCTTTCCCACAGGAACCATCTTTTTACTGTGCATGGAGTCCATCAGTGAAAAGGAAGATGGAGTATGCCATCCCACCACTGCTGCAGGGCCACATGGTACTCGGTGTGCAGACGTCTGTTTCACTTGAGTGCTGATCCCCGGCTTTCACAGAGCGCAGGGAAATGTTGCAGCTTGATTCATAAATTCCTTCCTTTGAAACACTAAAGTAGCCCTGACACAGAACATAGTAGTTTGCATGACGTTGATCTGTCACATGCTATACCGCTAATAGGAAAGCACATACTTGTTTCCAGCAACCCTCTATGACATATTCACCGTCATCATCTGTCAGCTCGGTGTTCCGGGTTCTTCACCTGAAGTCACAATCTATTATCTGTGGAGGTTGTGAGGTCTGAGGACGGCTATGTATATGTTATGGGATAATTATCTGCTAGTCCTGACAGGAAGATCCTTTGATTATTTCACTTGTGTGCTTTGGGTTCTTGTTTTGACATTCACATCAGTTTATTTTGCCTTT